ATATATATATATATATATATATATATATATATATATATATAGGGTCATTCAGAGATGCAAGTAATTGTATAGTGTTTCTATGGCTGATCGAACACTTTTGTTCTTAAATTGTTAAATTTAGTTTGGGTTGTTTGCCTTCTGACGCTGCTCCCTGGTTGACTACATAACTTTAGAGCTTTAGCTCTACAAAGTTAATTAAATTGTACTTTTATGTTTCCAGCATTTAATGGTTTATTACATGTTGCTTTCTTTTTGCAGTTTGCTAGGAATGAGAGTAAACAATGTTTATGATGTGGATAATAAGACATACCTTATTCGTCTTCAAAAGTAAGCATTTTTGTAGACTTGTTTGATCTTTAGTAATTAAGAGATGATATTTTCACCTGCACTTTTAGTTTGTTTCACCGATTTAACTTTGGGGTATGTCCTAAAGAAAATATTTGACTTTTGTCCCCACAGACCAGACTTTAAAGCTACACTTTTACTCGAATCGGGCATACGAGTTCACACGACAGAGTTTGAGTGGCCTAAGAATATGATGCCATCTAGTTTTGCTATGAAGGTAAAATTTTAAGTTATGCTTGAAGTGAATTTTTGAGGCCTTGAGATTGGTCACTACCAATTGAGTTTTTAACTGTTTGATTTTCCTTTGCTGTTATGAATAAAGTAGAGATAAAATAAAGGGAGTGGTTGATGGATAATGGGATGAATGAGGTACAGGTAGTTCTTGACTTGGGAGGTTCTATTCTGAGAACCCCATTCCATTGTAAGTTGCTTCTGAGCTAAGTAGAACACCTTAAAAAAGTTTTTTTTTTTTTTTTAATTGTGTTTTATTATAAAATAAAACTGACTGCCATCAAGTTGATTCCGACTCATAGCGACCCCTTCTTGGGTTTCTGAGGCAATATCACTATAGAAGTAGATTGCCCAACCTTCCTTCCAAGGAGTGGTGGGTTTGAAGTGCCAGCCTTCTGGTTAGCAGTCAGATACCTTGGGCACTATGCCAATGTTTTATTGTCAGTTTCTTTTAAATCTGATCTTTATCTTTTTTCTTTGGGCATTGGAAACATTACATATAAACTTACGGATATTTTAATATATACATACATTAAAATACACATACTAAAAGAATTATAATTAAATTTTCCCTACCAAAATAATACTGTGTTCTATCAACATTAATTTTTCTAAGGCATTATTTTCATTAGTTACCTCACTTTTCATCATCCAACAGTTTTTGAGCCCATATTTTGTTTTCTGGATGTCTTGACTTTATGATCTGTACTTTTTTTCCCCCCTGTATCTTCAGCTCTCTTTTGTGAACTGTGTAAACCCACACCCAGTGCTGTCAAGTGTTGATTTTGACTCATGTTGACCCCATGTGTTAGAGTAAAACTGCTCCATAGGGATTTTTTTTACTGTAATCTTTAAGGGAGCAGTTCATGGCTGGGTGGAATTGAACTGCCAGCCTTTGGGTTAGCAACTCATAGCAAACTACTTGGGCCACCCAGGCTCCTATGAATTATATACCTCTTCTCAATCTGCACTTTGTTGGAATGCTCAAGAACGTTAATATAATAACCAAGTAATTACCTCTTTTTACTTCTTTTTGTTGTTGTTTTTACTATTAAAACTGAAGTCCTGTGTTTGTGGGTGTGTTATTTATTCTCTTATTGATGTGCTATACACACACGCATACATACATACATACATATATATAGAGAAGCTCTGGTGACGTGTAGTGTCTAAGGCATCTAACCAGAAGGCTGGTGGTTCAAACAAACCAGCCACTCCTTGGAAGGAAGATTGGGCAATCTACTTCTGTAGTGATTCCACCTTGGAAGCCTGAGGAGGGGTTGATCCTATTCGATTCGACCGTAGTGAGTTTGTTTATATATGTCTATATAGATACAGATATAGATATAGACTGAAAGTGCTTGTTGTATAGAGAAAACACTTTAGAGTTAGATACAGTATGTTGCCCAGGTTTTCAATGTCTGACTTACAGACAGTTCCTACTTGCCCTTTAATGTTACAAAATTTGCTCTCATTTTGAAAAGATTGAACCAACCCCTACTTGCAACAAATTCATCATAATCATTTTCACTTGCTACATGTGTAGCTTTTGAATGATTTAGAAGGCTTCTAGTTTTTTCATGGCTAAAACCAGAAGAAAAGGAAACCCACTGCCCAACTCATAGCGACCCCCATTGGGTTTTGAGGCAGTAAATCTTTACAGAAGTGGATTGTCCTGTCTTCCATCTGCGGAGTGGCTGGTGGGTTTGAACCACCAACCTTCTGGTTAACAGGCAGATGCTTAGGCACTATGCCATTTCATGGCTAAATAAGAACTATGTGCACCTGTTACAGCTTACCCACAAATTCTATTTAAAGACACAGGAACAGATTTTGTTCTTAATTTGGGGACTGCCTGTATATATAACTTTGAATTAACTGTTTTGCCACTAAATAATTTTATAACCTGAAACAAGTTACTTAACCTCTTAGAACTTAGTTTCTAAATGTAATATGTGGATAATATTTTGCTCATGGAGTTATTTGTAAGGAGTAATTGAAATAACATGTAAAATACTTATAACACAACGCCTGACACATAATAGGGCTCTAAAAACCAAAAAACCTGGTGTCATTGAATTGATTTCAACTCATAGCAACTCTATAGGACAGAATAAAACTGCCTATAGGGTTCTCAAGGCTGTAAATCTATGGAAGCTGAGTGCCACATTTTTCTCCTGGCTGGTGGATTCATACTGCTGACCTTTTGATGAGCAGCTGAGCACTTAACCACTGTGCTACCAGGGCTCCTTAATTAGCACTCTACATGTATTGATTTCCTTTTCCCTCTCCTCAGTTTGCTTCAGAAACCTGTTATAAAAAATCAAACCAAACCCACTGCCATGAGTTGATTCAGACACATAGCAACCCCCATTAGGTTTCCAAGGTGGTAAATCTTTACAGAAGTAGATTGCCACATCTTCCTTCGGTGGAGCTGATGGTGGGTGGGCTTATGTTACTTCATGAGGGCCTTTCCAGATAAGAGCCTTACCCTAGCAACTTAAAATCTGTTTTTGGATTTCAGGAAAAGTGTTTCTCAGAGTCCCTGAGTAGTACAAATGGTTAAAGTGC